GAGGCGGGTAGTAGGGGAGGGCGAAGAGAGACTCATTGACTTGGGGTTGGGGGCGGCGAGCAAGTCGAGCGAGATAACGATGATGGTGTCTGTGGTTAACGAATCAAATGGCCCGCGATGAGCAGTCGGTGATGAGCAAAGAGGCGAGCAACAGCGACGCTGCCGTGGTGTGGTGGGGGACTCCATTTATGTGGAAGGTGGAAAATGCTGAATGTGCTAATGGAATGCAAAAGGTGTAAATTCTTTAGGAGGAGGGGGGGGAGGGTGCCCTTTTTTTTCATTTGACTTGAAAACTCGCTCTCGCTGTACACGGCGCGCGGGTGTGAAATATGCGTCGCGGCGCTCGTCCCTGCCCGCCGGCTGACACTGAGAAGAAAAGGGCGGTCGGAGGGTACCCCTCCAGGAGCCCTCCAGGAGCACTCCGGGACCACCGCATATGCACTTCGCGGCCAGCGCGCCGATCCAGTTTCACTTGGCCTCCTCGCTGCCGCCGTCGCAGAGGTCGTCCTCGAGGGTCGTGCGGGGGGCGGGTATCAAGAATCCACTAGAAATGTGAGAAGGGAAATGTGTTTTTTTGCAACTGCGGTATCGCATTTGAAGAGCAGGTTGTGTCGTAGCGGTGTTGTTGGTTGGGTATGCCACCTCTCCCTCAACTCAACAGCGTCGGTTCTGAAACAAGCGTACAACAACTTCTGCATTAGCTTTTTAGGAAAATATAAAGAATGCCGTTTTTTCTCATTTGAGCTAATTTCACTGGTATGAGGGAGCATCTATTAAATGTTTGTGCGAGGCAGCAGCGGCAAGCAGTGCTGCGACGGCCGGATTAAAAGCGTACTGGGTGCTGTACACACGCTCTCTCTCTCTCTCTCTCTCTCTCTCTCTCTCTCTCTCTCTCTCTCTCTCTCTCTCTCTCTTCTCATATCGCGGCGCCACCTCCCGCCCCACGCCGGTGGCTCTATCTTAGCCGCCGCACTGCCCTTAGTCACGAAGGCCCTCTCCGCCTAGAGCCGGGGCCCGCCCCGCCCCCCATCCCCGCCCGTGCCCCGTGGTCGAGAGTATCCTATTTCATTGCCGGATAATTTAGACGCCCCGTTTCTGGAACCTGCGGCCCGGCCTGGACTTCCCTGGACCGTGTATTTCATACCGGGATGAGAAATTGCACGACCCCCCGGAGGAATCTCTGCGGCGGCGAGCAAAGGGCGCGCAGGAAAAAAAAATAGTATGAAGGCGGAGTGCGCCGGTACTATTCGAAGCTCCCTGACCGTCTCGCCCCTCCCTCTCTTTCCCAATCTCTCTCTCTCTCTCACTCTTTCTCTCTCGCTCTCTCCCTCACTCTCGCTGTCTTCCGCTCTCTCTCTCTCTCTCCCCCTCGCCCACTCCTCCCTCTCTTTCACTATCGCTCTTTGCTTGTATTTTGACAATCCACCATTTTCTCACAAACACCACTTACATTTCGCGCGCTGTGCGTATATATAAGACATAAGTTATTCCCTGGTGGGGGGCGGCGCATCGGCGGAGCAGCATAGAGGAGGAGGAGATTTGCCTACTTTGTATATCCAACGGCATCGAAAATGAAGTGGCTTGAGTCAGTTCACCGCGGGATAAAAATGGGAAAATATTGAGATGTGTGTGGGAGCAGCTGGGGGGGGGGGGTAGGAAAGGATCCCACCGGCTGAGCCCACCACCGGTGGTGCGTGGGAGAGGATGGGGAAGGAGGAGAAAGAACTTGTTTATGCTTCGCGCAGCCAAACAGCAATAATATTACCTCGCAAACAAAGAAGGCGCGGCTGCCAAGGCGTAAGTGATGTCGGAAACACTCAAGATATCACTATCATCATCATACCACCGCCCTCGACGCGATGCCCGACTGGGGTCGCGCCGCCGCGGCCCGTTTCATATTGAACGCCCGGCCTCCGTAAATCACCCTCCCCGGCCTGTATAATCATCTCCATATCGCGGAGGGCAGGCGGGCGCCGGCCGCTTAATGAAAACGCCAAGGAAATGGAAGCGCGGCGCGCGCGGTGACACGGGGGCGCGGGACTCAATTGATGAGACAACCGACCTCAGCGGACACGGGGAAAAGCATCTATTAATTGAATTTAATTTTGTATGTCATATGTTTGTACATTTTCAAAGGCTTAATATTAAAACCCTAAATAGGCATTGAGACCCGACCTTTATTCTTTCAGTGTACTTGTAATTTTATCATTTTAAATTGTAAATTTTACAACACCCATTTTGCAAATGTTTCCCATCACCGCGTTATACGAGTACCATTTGTCACTTTGAAGAGGCGCCGCAGCCACCGAGAGAGAGAGAGAGAGAGAGAGAGAGAGAGAGAGAGAGAGAGAGGGGGGGGGGGAAGAGATGTTATTTACCTCGGCCGTTGTCGCTTTCCTGTGGCTGCACTAAAGTCCACCTCCACCCGCGCGCGCGCCAGCCGTGGAGGTAGGCAGCTGGTGCGGCCGCGCGCGCGCCTGTGTGCTGCGGGCCTGCCTATCACGCCGCACGCGGGCGCCTGGCCCCACCCGCTACGCCCTATTCCTCCCCAACTGCACCACGCATGGGCTATACGAGGGGGCGGACTTGCTTTGTGGACACGGTCGTGCATACGGCGTCGCTTCAGGACGCGACCCCTCTGTAATTTTTCCACCCCTACCCCTTTCTCTCTAATCTCCTGCTCCCTTTACATCCGGTCCTCCACGACCTCCTACCCCCTATGCCCTCTCTTTCCCCCGACGTGCGGACCGTACCGCCCCGGTTGGCAGGTAATTTCCCTGCTGTGTGGCCACCCGCATTTGCCCCCCCCCCCCCTGCTCCACCCCGCTCTGCTCTGCTGCACGCAGGTTTTTATTCATTTATTCTCATATGTTCCCCTTATTTGCATACCCATCTTACTTCGCCAGAGGCCTCCCCTTCTCCTCCCCTCCCCACCCCTTCCTGCCGCACGCTACACCCGCCAAACTCACCCGCTACGCTTCCCAAAGCAGAACCCGTCATATTCTTACGGTTTACATCAGAAACCTGTGCGTCACCATAAGACGAAAAAAGAATGTAACGCCCAGTAAATGCCACCTCACTAAATTTTTTTCGCTCTGTATTTTTTTTTTCCTGAGTGGTACAGAGAGGTGCGCTCCATTTTCTCCCCTGGCACACATTCTGTCCTGCACAAGAAAGGCCCAGTTGTGCCCGAGCCGAGGCCCCCCGGCCAGGGCAGGTCCGGCCGCCGGCAGAACAGGGCGGCTCAGCCACGTACGTAATTCGGAGCCTCCACAAAACGGTGGCCGTTTGGGGGACCGCAAACAGAGTGCGAGAGGGGGGGGGGTGAGTGAGTGTGTGAGAGAGACAC